TTTGAAACATCATATAACCTGTCGCACCATTGGGGGGTGGGTACCACTGAACAACAGTTCCTGGATTAGAATGTTGGAGCGCTGTCATGAAACGGGGCAATTCGAAATATGACTTTTCCCAACCGCCAAATATTTGTGCTATGGCCTTTTGCTTCCCCATCCATGTTCTCCGGTAAGATACCGTATACCCATATTTTTCCTTCAACATCTCGATGATAGTATGCACTTTAAGAGAAGGATCAGTGCGAATAATGTCAACCACATCTTTACAGATGAATTCTGATGTCAAGGCCACGTGATCTGTAGTGTCGATGTTGCCTACACAAGAAGCAGAATGAGGTCCAGAATAACGCACAATTGTGAAGGTGTCAAGGTTGCCTTTGTTCTTTGTGGCGCGTATTCTCCAGGGGCACTGACATTCTTTCTTCCTTTTGCATTGTGCCACCCATTTGTGTTTGTCGGACTCTATCACCCGATAGAATTGGTTCCGTTTGATAGAATACAAGCTCACCATATTGATGACTTGTTCTTTGTTGTCAAACTGTTGACCGACCTCAAACTCACCATCGGGGGTAAACCTTTTCTCACCTGATCCACTCATCCACGCATCAGTAAAACCTTCAGGGAGATCATACATTCTAGTGAAGTGGCTAGACGGGGCAGTTGATGTCACAGTATCACCATCATCTTCATCAGATTCTGTCATGTCGTCACCAATGATGTTCTCGTCTGCATCATCATCACTTCCTTGCCCATCCACAAATGATGCACCGTTGTGCAAATACCTGCCATCCTCCTGTATAACCATGTCTAGTACAGGAACCTTTGACGACTTCCCTGCATTCACCCCTGCAATGACATCATGCCTAGATACACCAGCATTTGATGTCGATTGAGTAGCATTAGCGTCAAAGCATTCCTCAATGTATACCTCCAGCGACGACATATCCTCCATCTGAATTATGCCCCACATATTTGTTATAGCTAGCTCATCAATGAGCGGCATAAGCATGTACTTTCCCCCGTTCATGGGAAATTTCATTTTCAACCGCAATGAACGGCCGGGATGAATCATTGTCGCTGCATGTATTTTTTGAAGAATCTCGACCATGCAAGCGCCACGAGAAACCATGACAAAGCTCGTTCTGCCACCTTCATGGCATATTTGCCCACCATTCTCATAATAGTTCCCTCCCCAATGACACACGAGTGGGAAGCTTGAGAAATCCATCTTCTAATAACAACTCATTGTCCAACATTCATGAGTAGGCATCAATATACACACTTTATACACATTCACATTTTTAATAGAAATTGCTTCCAAAATTGTAATATATCATTAACTCCAAATTCACAAACAATTCACATTTCAATAACAAACTACCCAAATTTTGATATCTACATTCAATGTCTACCTTTGAATACCCAAATTTAGGTACATTCAACTATACCCAAATGTCCAAATGTCAAAATACACATTACAATTTACAAACAATTTAAAATCATATTTCAACATTTCATACATATTCACATTTCACAACAACTTCATTCACAATCAATTCATAATCCCAAAATTAAAAAAAAATTAACATTCTAAACCCTAAGTGCAAAATTATATGAAATGGATTTGGATTTACCTAGAATAAGGAGTAAAGAGTGTTGAAGATGAAGATGGAGGGTTGCCGGAGTGGAGTCGCCGGAGATGGAGGAGCGCCGGAGTTGGAGATGGCGGTTCGTCCGTCTTCTTCTTCGTCCGTCGCAACAGCTACTTTTAGTTGGGGGAGGCTTCTGTGAAGTGTTCTGTTTGGGGCGAGACCCGATTTTTACTTAAGGGAAAGTCGCCCAACGGTTGGGCGACTTATAAGTCGCCAAACCGTTTGGCGACTTATAAGTCGCCCAACCGTTGGGCGACTTACCCCCGACCATGGTTAACCCAGCAGTATTTTGGTAAATACTTTTAACCCAACCCTATTTTCGTAATTAATTAATTAATTAACATTAATACGGAAAAAAACTCATTTAATTATACAGGCTATTATTTTACGAGGTTAGGTAGATAAAGTTTTGATAGATAATAATAGTACTCCGTATTTATTACCTCCGTCCAATAATGGTTGTCTCATTTCAATTTGGTACGATTATGAAAAAAGTGATTGAAAAGTAAAAGTTGTGGTTGTGATTTGAGAAGAATAAAATGAAATAATATGGACCACAAATTTCTTACCAAAAAAGGAAACATGATATGCATTTTGGGAAATTCAAAGAGGAAAGTAAGACAACCAAAATGGAGTGGAGGGAGTAAATTTTTAATTAATCTTTGATAGAGTTTGCAGGAGATAAGTTGCACCTCTTCTATATCGTGCATTTGCAATGAACTAAGAAAATAAATGATTACAAAGCAAATGTGCATTTACTACCATAACATACAACAAAACTAATTAAAATTAAAAGTACAAATATATACATTGAAAATCGAACATAGTCAATGTTTTTTAACCACGTAACCAAGTTTCCGGACAATACCAGGTTTCGGGACAAGCACTTTTTCGAATGAGAAAGGTTCTTGCAGATTTGTTGTAACTTTCAATTGGCTAGTCCAAATAAAGTGATTCTAATTGCGTTGGATTTGTATAGAATAGGGAGCATTTAACATCTCGAAAAACGTCAATTTACGTATGATAGGTAATCAAACACACAAAACCCAAAATTTAAAGAGCATAAAGTTGTCATCTCATCTGGAAATGACATGAATACCATCTTATAATCTTGCTGTGATTAACCTTCCTGAAGTTTTCTCCCTCGTCTTCTTCCTCTTGATTAACTGAATGAAAATGGTGAAAGACACTGAAATGTCTGTTGCGGCGCCGTAAAAGCCTAGGTCTTAAGTTTAGTTTTTAGGCTTTTCAGCCTTTAATAGGTCTATTAAATGGGATTTGAGCCCCAGCCTTACCTCCTATATTTATGCAACCTTTCAATTTCTATCTATTTTAATATAAAGGGACTCCCTTAATCCATAAATATTTCCTAAAGATATAGTTATCCACGCCAAGATATAAATATAATAAGTGGCTTTGGGACACACCACGCGGTCCCCACTCCAAAGTGAGTCCCACAAATAAATTTTTATACTCATAAAAATTAAATAGCCAGAATAAATTACCAAATCTTATTCATAACATTGTGAAACTAAATTACACTTAGTTCATGAAAATTTATATCCGAGGAATAGTGTCACAAGTTCATCCCCCTAAAATGGTATTTTATCCTTGATATCCACGAGTCTAATCAAACATAACTGAAATATATAGTGCTCCCTCATCAAAGCTTAAGTCTCACGTTTCCTTTTCGATCCAGTCACTCCTTAAAAGCACTTTCACAGTAGGAATTGCCTTGCTCCTCAGCTTTTGTACCTATATATATGTCCACGATCTTCACTGATTGGATGCGTAGTGCAAGTCTTCTCGTATCTCTACCGGTGGTTTCTCGAAAACAAGTGACAGATCTCATACATACTTCTTGCGCATTGACACATGAAACACATCATGAAACTTCTCTAGCTCCAGAGTAAGTTGAAGACGATACACCATACGCCATGACCCGATCCTCTATAGGAATACCTCGGCTATTCGTCTATGGTAACCCTACCATAAAATACTTGGTCAAATGCTCCTGCTTCCACTCAAGAATGGTGAGTGACTGCAAAAGTCCCGTATGCTGCTGCTATTCAACCTTAACTTGCTCGCAATTGTACGTAACGTCACTCCCAGGGTTAAATGAAACATTACACTAACTTGCCACTTTAAAAATAATCTGCAATATAACAACCGTTTCTTTAAGATATAACGTAACCTTGATACATAAAATTATCATAAGTGACTCAAATATAATTCCAAATAAAACTTAATGAAATCTATTTATCACAACAGGTGTGATAACAACCTGGATCCAGCCAAATCAAATTAAATAATTAAGAACAACCATTTTACTATAACAACCTGAAATCCTTAAGTAAAATAATATCTAGAAGAGCCAAGGTCATTCCCGTTAACTCATTTTAGCACACGTTCTACTCCCTCACTATCTTCCAAGACCTTGGTCTTACCTTAATTAGTATATTAATATTTGTACATGTGAATGAAGAAAACTGATAAGTTCTACGCTTAGTAAGTCACTATGGATCCGCAAAAACATTTGATAAGTCTATGCTAATTTATCAGTAGATGAATTTAGGCTATAAACATGCCCGTAAAAAAACTCACAAAAACTTCTCAAATAAATTTTGAAAAAGATATCACAAAAGAAAATACTTTCTGAAATAATTTCTCAAAACTGCTGAAAATATCTCAAAATTTCTCGTTAAACTAACTCTGAAATAATTTGTGAAGAGATCTCAAAATACTTTCTCAAAACATTTATGTAAAAACTTTCTGAAAGAGATCTCATTAATATTTCTGTAAGACTCTTTGTGCTAATTTTACCCGGGCCCGTGATATGTACTCAATGGTGCCAATCCGACAGCGCAGGGGAGCGCCCCAGACAAGCTATTGTTGTTCAACCTCCTGTTCATTAAATGACAAAAAAAAAGATAAACTTGAAGAGATCATTAAAAAGGAAAAGAAATGCAATTGAAGAACTATTATCCAAAACATACAAATACTGCATATAATCAGGTGTTTTACCAAAATACGGGAATTCTCAACATCGGTTGCCAAAATGCAGGGGTTTTCAAAAAAGAGAAGGTCGGAATTGGCTCTTCCGACCAGAGATAGGGTTTTGAAAAAAATAGGGTGTGCTCATGTCGGATATACCACTTCCGACTAGGGGTTTATTTTATTTTTCAAATTCAGTTTTTTGATGAAGTGTTTTAAATTCCTAATCGGCATGTGGTTTGGATGTTTTTTTTTATTAAATAAAATTAGTTTTTTGAAATTGAAGTAATACGTACCGTGCAATATTTAAAATGAAAAATATACATTTTTCTTTTTTGAATAACAAAGCATTGATTACTTTATATATTTTTTAATTCATTCGTAATGTTAATTAAATTCATAAAATGAAGTACAAATTTCATTTGTTTAATGGAAGTGAACAAAACAAATGTAGTTTTTAATGTAAATTATTAATAAATAGATATTACGTGCATACAATAATACATTTAATACTACATCTAACGTTGCTTGCTCGGCCCTGGCATGTCACCACCGCCAGTGTTCCAAAACCCCGGTGTGTCTTCAAAAGTGGAAAAATATGCATCTGACTGTGTAGAGTACTGATAAGAACCATAATACGGTGGTGGTTCAAAAATTGTGAAATCTTGATGCGAAGAGAATTGAGGGGGCGGTTGTGATTCCTCACCCCCACATTCATATTCAACTGCATCACCCTCTTCCTCGTTTCCACCGTCACCTGCATATTCATCTCTATCTTCATCAACGTGACCATGTGTACGATCACGGGTGGGAGCATCTCTTCTTTGATCAAGCGTACGACGAGGGACGGGAGCGGGCTCATCTTGTGCATTCGGGTAAAGGAAAACATCCTGGTGGAGCATCATTTCATCACCTACATCCATGGCCAACCGCTCAAGCCGTTCTTTGATGTTTTCGTAACTCGCCGCCTGCAGGTTGGAGAGCTCATACACATCGTGAAAGCCCTACTTCTGCATAAAAATTTAACACGTATAAATAATATGACACAAAATATGTTAATGAATATGGTATGTATTCAAAAACTTACCATAAGACCCCAATCACGTGCTGTCGGGGTGTATCCTGTCGCCGGCGCAACGTGAGAAGGGTTCCCAACACGTATCATCCCATGCTGCGAGTACCATTTTCGATACCTATCAGTCGCTGTGAGTATTCTTTGTTGTTCGTAATCCAGCAGGTATACACTATTCCGTCGGTTCGCCCACATTGTCAAGACAGATGTTGATACGACGGAACGACTAGTGTGATGATCATTACCCTGCTTAGCGTCTTGTGGACACTACTACAAAACAGGGTTTCCACATCAGTTTTTTATACCATTTCACGTCGGTTTTTCAACTGACGAGGAATGTCGCGACGTAATAGATAATAGCATTTCACGTCGGTTTCTAAACAAACGTAATAGGTATGTTATCACGTCGGTTATTTTGTAAAACCGACGTAAGAAGTACTCGTTTTTTTATAATAAATAAGATTATAAGACCTTCCACTCGCTTTTTTTGTTTAGGTTTAAAGTATCCAATATAATAACCTGTATTTGAATAAGTGGAACAAGTTACAATCAAAGCCCATACTATTGTAACGATAAAGATACGCATGAGTCAGTTACCAGAATTTATCAAACAAGTACCCTCATCTAGTTTATCAAGATCAAAGTATCTATTTGTGCGCAGATCCTTAACTGTCAGCAACCTTAGATATTTTTGAATTCATTGCAACTCTCTGCAATATAAGAACAAGACAACCCATAGTGAAATAATTTCGTTTGAGTTTAATCAGTATCAGGTCTAAATACGGGCATCTCAACCATTAAGTAAGCATCGAAAGCATACATTCTTTTCACATGTTAAATGATATACTATCGATACATATAGTAAATACAGTTTGGGAATGAGATGCTAGCCAAATGTTTAACACTAGTGCAGTAAAAACTCTTTTTAAGGCATCTGTATTAGTGTATGACATAGATGTTCACTCAGAATAAACAAATATTCTCCTTGCTTAAAAGAGGAACAATCCAAAATCCGAAAATTATCAAATTAAATTTATCAAAATAGGAAAAGAATCAAAATAAGAAATGCATTACAGAGCCACATAAACACAAACACTCATCCAAAAATATGACTAATGTGTCGAAATACTGCCAACAACAAACTGAAAAAATGAAAAAATATGGTGTAGGAAGAGAAGGGTCGAAATACCAGAAGGTGTATTCGAAGTGACAGAATCGGGAAGCCAAACTTTACTGAATACCATTGCAGCACTAGATGAGATAGCTATCTATTGAATCTGATTCCTTTATCTTCGCCGTTCCCTTGATTTCAACTCTTCCCTCTCTGGTATCTCGCTCACAGAGAGAACAATTTCTCTGAAATAGTTAGGGTTTTATTACTCCAAAATAGCTAAAGAAAACGATGACCTGGATCAGAGGGCAGAGATTGTCTCGATTCACAATCGTGGAAGAGATATTTCTCCGATCAAGTATATCCCAAGGTCAATTTTCGGTTTTTATGTGTAGAAGACGATGCAAGGGTTTCGTGCGTAGAAGAGGAGATGCGAGGGTTTCACGCGTAGAAGAAGACGATGGGAGGGATTTGTTCGATCGCCTGCAAAAAAATCTTAATCTTCAAACACTTCTGACGTTTATTCTGATTTCAGAGATTTTCCCGACTGGGAGAAGGTTTCGTGCGTAGAAGAAGAGGATGAGAGGGTTTCTAGTTTCTTGGTTAATTTTAAACAACTCTTGAGTGATCGATTGAAATTGTTTGCATTTTACGTCGTTGTCGTTTGAACATAACTGCCGTTAAAGGTGCAAGAAACTAAGAGCATCTTCAATGGCTGTCTGTTGACATTAAAAAATTTGCTACGTCATACTAATTTAACAGTGTCATAAAGTTTTGGTTTCCAGCGAAGTACATTTACCGGTATGTAATGCTGATGTGTTAAAAAATTAATTAGACATTGTATACATCGCTGTCTTCCGTTAACAGCACCCGATGACTCGGCATATGCGAAGCAGAAATTGTAGAAATTACCCTGGAACTGCCGCAGATAAATATTCCTGCACGTCAAAACATTCGTTCTCTGCACATATTTGCAAGAGCCAAGTAGCAACCACTCGAAAAATTATCTCTCCCACCTCACATTTGACCTTCCCCTGGATTAAAGCTTCTGTAGGAAATAAATAATTATTAGACCTTAAAATAACAAATACCAATATAATCGAATACATGGTTATATCTATATAGGATCATGACCTCTATCTATATAATCGAATACCCAGATATCATTTCACACATTCATCATGTAGAGAGTTGTTGCTTTTGATCTGTCAAATAATTGATAAAATAGTCGGTGGATTTTTATGCCTTTTAAAGTTGAGGAGTAATATTATTAATATTAATTCGAAAGATATATGGATTATACGGTGGTGGTTACATGGGCTATTGACATCATGCATTGGACATGATTTTGGAGTTTGAATGTCCACTGACGTGCACTTTGTCGTGAGTGCACTCAAAATAAATCGATACTAACACTTATACGTAGTATAGGTGAAGTAGAGTTCGTATCCACAGGGAAAGGAATACTTTTCTTCTTACAGACATAAATAAGTAACAATAAGGGGGGTTTATATTTGGTTGATGAACTTTAAATTATATTTAAACACGAAGATGAACGAGTTGTGTAATTTAATTAATGAGAAGAAGACTTGGCTTTGCTTTTATCCACTTAATGAAATGTTCGTCGATCCCGGTTATATCTTTAACTATCTTCCTCTCGAATACTCAATCGAGGAGTATATCCAATTCATCGAGGGTAGTTATTAATAACGAGACGCGTTCATTAATAAAACTTACTACCGAGTTAATATAGAACACGTGCCGTATATTTACTCGATAGTAGCAATAAAATCAAGATGAAAACGATTGAGATTGATAACCTCAACACAAGCGGTTTATTGGTTTAATCAATATAATTAATTCCCCTTGGCTTATTAACCATGAGACGCATGCATTAACAACCCAAGTTTACTACCGTGAAAGGACCGAGTTAATAACAAGCGTATTAATCGACCGATTCTAGTATTAATTAATATATGTGTTGGTCCCAGTTTATGCAGACTAACGATCAACTAGATGAACATCATCGATAAACAGAAAGAAAGAAGATCTGATAATGATCAAACAATATCGAGAACAGAGAAATTCTTCTTTCTGTTATATCGAGAAGAAATTTGGCAGCGTAAGGCAAAGGTATATTAAAATCGATATCGGTACCTGTACACAAGGCACATATTTATAGGCGCTGTATAGGTTACCGATTTAGGTAAACCTTGGAAGTTGGGCCAAGGCCTTTTTGGGCCTTATTCCCTTTACCTTATTTATTACATAATAATTACTAATCTAATACCATAAATGGTATAACTAGTCTACTTTATTAAACAAGACATTACAGACAAACTTGACCCACAATAAAAGTTCTAACAATCTCCCCCTTTGTGGTCAAGTGCCGTCTTGCTGGGTTTCTTCACTTCTGAGCTTTGTAATAGTTTTTGCGTAGGTTCAGCGCGTGCTCATAGTTTCTGAGTGAATTTCTTCTTTCAAGTTGCTTTTTGATGGCCCGTAGGATGTTGTCAATTCTGTGTGCCTCTTTTAATTCAGTATCTGTGGCATCTGCATACTTTTGCTGTCTTTCTTTAAATGCTTCTCTGATCGGTTGCAGCTTCTCTTTCACAATCTTCAGGGTTCCGTCACAGTACTTGTTAATTTCATCAATGAATAGCATACGTTTCTCACCATTGTGATTCAGATAGATAAGCGTGATTGGACTATCAAAAATGTAATACTCAGGAAAGTCCTCCAATTCTTGTCCATACAACTTTGGTCTTGTGAGATTCGTCTTTGGCATGTTTGTTTCAAAAGCCATCTGAAGATCATGAGAGGCAAAGAATTTGATTTGTCTGATCATAAACCGCTTGAGTGCATCCAGCCCATCTTGTGTAATTTTGTCACGAATGCCTGGAATTTCCTGGAATGCAAGATACATCTGATAGATGTCGTCCATCTTTAGCATGTAGAGATCATTTTCCTTGCACGTGAATACAGTTCCGTCAGAGCGCTGAAGATGGTAGACAGAGAGTTTGATATCTTGAAAGTTGGTTTCAGCCACATTGAGAACAGCCCAGACAGGGTCCTTGGCTGTTTGAAGTTCGTGTTGCCAGACTTCTCTCTGTTTTCCCATATAGTGATGACTAAGTAGAAACAACTGTCTGCTCTTGTTTCGTAGATGGTTAAGACCACGGATCTTCAGTTCGTCCAGTTCTCTGACCTTATCCTCTTTTCGCCAGATGTTTTCTCTGATTTCCTCTTGAAAGGGGGCGTTGATGTCGATCTTTTCCCAGGGCTTCTTATTTTTGGGCATTTGAGCCGCTGTTTGTCTAATGATTGACTCAAGCTCCTTGGGTGGTGTCTCGTAGTTCTCTCCCTCCTTGAGTTCATCTTGATCCAGTAGAATCACATCAGTAGCACAGTTGACTAAGAGATCTCTGAGATATGCTCTTCGTTGTGATTCATCTACATTTGTCCAGAGTTCAGACCATTTGTTGTGCACCAACATTTCCTCAAGTTCATCGTGCATTTGATCATTGTAGTAGCCGGAGGGAGCCTGCTGCTGCTGAGGCGACATGTCGGGCGTAGCATCGGGATCCTGATGAGACTTGCAGGGATCCTCAATTATCTCAACACGACGCTCTTGCGCAGAAACCAGACCTCTATACTTCGTTACATGCGGCCAATCCTCCCTTGGCTGAGAATGTGTAACACCGGGATCCTCAGGATTGCCCGTTGACATCAGTTTTGAACTGGATTCTAGCTGATGGCCTGAGTAGGAAGATGTACTCGTGGTAGCATTATCAAGACTTCCATTCCGTCCTTGGTTAACATCTATAGGAGATGCACCTCGGGATGTTATGTCTAGCTCGACCATGCTAGAAAGAGTGGCTAGGGATTTATGGCTAGCTGAAGTAGTGGGTTGCTCATTGGTAGAGGTAGAGGGTTGGTTTGGCTTTGAGGGTTGGCTAGTAGAAGCAACATGCTCAAGTATCCGCTGGCGCTTGTTCTCCCCCTCATGAGAATCCGAATCATCGGGATCCTCATGTGAACGTTTAGCGCCACGGAGACTGTCACGGCATGTGTTCTTTGTATCTAGAGCATGGAGAAGGGCTTTTTGAAGAGGGGTGAGGTTGCCTTCTTCCACGTCTAGTATACGGTCGTAGATCTCAGCTACAAGATCCCCGAAGGGTACGGTGGTTAGGTTGGGTTTGGTCGTTGTAGGGGAGAATAGTAGTTCTGTATCCTGGGTTCCCCTTGATGTGGATGGTTGTTGGTTTTCTATGGCTAGGGGTTTGGAAGTAGGAATGGAAATGGTTGGGGGCTGTGTTGTTTGGGGTCTGGGTGATATATTCTGAACAATTGGGGTACTTCCAGAGTCTTGTGCATTGGCGGTTATTGCCTCATGCACCCATGGTTTAATGGTAGACTCTAGAAAGCTGTTCAGATATACGAGAATGTCTTCGGGAATTGTGGTACCAGTTACAGGGGTTGTAACTGTTGTCACAGCATCAGTGAAGATAGCTGATGTGTGGCCTGCGTTCAATGATCGAGGCATTGTTGGCGTAGCAGGACTTCCGACCATCATAGTTTGCACTCCGGTCGTTGCATTCAGGGTGAGTGCACCTGTATGTGCAGTGAATAGTGTAGGTGTCCTAGAGAAATTTAAAAATGTAGGAATGGTGACACCTAGACTCGATGTGATAGAACGGATGGGGGTAGTGGTCCGGGGCTGTTGACCACTAAGTCTCTCAGCAGATTCGGAAGGAATCAGTGAGGTCGGTGTAAGTTCCCCTTGAGTTATTGAAACTCCAGTCTGTTGGGAGACTGGAGAGTGGATGGGGGATGGCTGTGCATGCGCAGTTGAACCGGATGCTGCGACTTCTACCCAGGAACTGACAAGGTCAGCTCCTGCTCCTGGGGGCGTGGTTCGGTCTATGGTGGCGAAGGTGTCGCATTCATCGTACAGTGCCAGCTCCTCTTCCACTGTACTCTTCTTTCTTAGCCTCTTCTTAGGCTGTGATGATGCATATTTGTCGCTGTTGTGCTTGGAGCGCTGCTCACTGATGACAATGCCCTTAAGTGGTCGGGACATGTGAGCAGCCTCTTCATTGTCCGATGAGGAGTCGGAGTCTATCAGAATGGCTCTCTTTCCGGCTCTTTTCTTGTTGCTGATCAGGACTCCCTCCATGTCATCATCATCATCTACATCATCATCATCATTCCGCCCATTTCCTTTGGCCATGCTATCGGAGGCCTCACCACCAGCCTTATTAGAAGGGGCCTGGCTTGATGGTTCATCGGCAGTGTCCTCAGCATTGATAGGGTGGCCCTCAGCAGTCTGGGTCCTCTCGGAAGAGTTAGCAGACTGATCATCATTAGGCCGGGTTGCCACTGGTTTCTGTGGCGGGGCTCTCTTTTTCTTACCCTCACTTGCTCTCGGCTTGGTTCCCGGGGAAGGTCCAGCTGGGTTTTGCTGAACCATAGGAACCGTTCTTTTCAACGACTCTTTGTAGTCAATGACTGCCTTATCCCTCGGGTTTGCTAGATCAAGTAGAGAGTCCGGGATTGGCAGTGCTTCAGCTTTGTTGCTGTCCCTCTGGAAGTACTTGAGCTTTGGAGCGGTGAAGTGCTTGCCTTCC